CTTAATAACATCAAAGAAATGCCAACACATCTTCTCTGCTGTCTTGTGCTATGCTTTTGTCTGACAAATTTCTTGCATTTCACAACAGACTGGAGGGTGCAGATTCAGGATTGTGCCCCGGCACGGATATAATGCAGCTCAAGCCCCAGAGGACTCCACAGCATTTAGGTTACTCTCTAGATACCACTGCCCCGACCGACCTCCTGTGTGACCCTTCATCTGCCTTCCCCTCCGTCTCCTTTCCAGCCGCCAGAGCTCGCTGGCTTTCTCTCACCTTTGGTCTTGCTGAGGTTTGGGGTGAACTCTTTGGGGTGACAAGCACACATGTAGCACCCAGCATAGGGTGTCCCACGTCTCAGCTCAGGCAACTCAAGCCCTAGAAACTTGGCTGATCCGGTCTCTTTTGCTTCCAAAGAAATGGCATTCATTTATTCACCTAAGTGCCTTTTTAAAGCTCCTTTTGAATTTCGTTCTCCCCAAAAGGCAGCATTTTGCTGTTTAGCAGTGCCTGCTGGATGCTGCTCCACAGATGCTGTGCCCTGGGGGCTTTCCCCCGGGGTGGGGGCCCGGCCGTGGCCCCGGGAGCGGGGCCACCCCTCCCCGGCTGCAGGGAGAAAGTTTCCCTTCGCAGCACTGAGACCAGGCAGAAACAAAGCGACCGGAGGAGGTGGGGAGGGGAGAAGGGAAGAATGAGCTAGGTTAGGGGAAATACAGCCGGGAAGAAAAGGAAAGGACCAGCTGATCTGAAAGCCCCGATAAAAGCCCGAGACAAAGGACGAAAGAGCCTGGAAGATTATCAAGGGGAAGCGGGAGGAGGAGCAGAAAGATGCAGCAGAACCTAAGCGGGAATGATGTAAAGTGCTGCAGGGAGGAGGGGAGGTTCCTACCTAAAGCCGAGGGTGGTTTAACTTACTCAACCCTCTCCATTTACAGGAATCGCGCTCCTTACTCCTTTCTGGCTGGGAGCACCTGAAAAATGCAGGAGCTGCTCCGGCGGGGACAAGTGCCCGTGTCCATCCCACAGCCCTGACAGCATCAGCCCCGATTGCTCATCTGTTTCCAAGTACAACCGAGTCACTTCGCTGGTGGGCAGAGAAGTCAGGGACACTCTGCGTCCAGCACCCTGCAGCAGAGGAAGCCTTAGTACTGCTGTTGTTAGCCTTGTTATTTTCTTCTAATAAAAAGGTGGTCATGACTCACTCTATTAAGAAACAAAAGCAGAGCTGTAATCTACTGAAAGGCAGTTGTTTGGATGCTCAGCATTAGGTGTGTAAAAGGAGGAAGGTCAGAGGCAGGGCAGGGCTGGGGATATACACCCTGCCGCCAGTACAGGCCAACTTTCAGGTATTCCCCAGAGAGTTTATTTCCTGGGCTGGTATGATTTGCCCCCTCCTTCACACTAGCACTTCAGCAGGGGTGTGGGGAAAAAA